TTTTATTTCTTGAGAAATAAACTGAAATTGCATAGCCACTTATTAGGTAACAAGGAAAATTTTTTTATGAGATTTGATTGTGTCAACTCACATTAATCTTTGCAAAATGCATAAATTAAATTTTCCTTCAGAGCAATGATTAAAACTTCAATTGTAAATAAGATAATATTTAGCAAAAGATCTACATTCCATCTAAGATCACTAAAATCTCATAGCTTTAAAATGATTCATGTCTTTGGTACAGAAGAGTAAAATTCCGAAAACACAAATATGAATAAAGTTAAAACAAAAAGTGAAAAACTTCCAAAGTGTCTAAAACATGAAAAACAAAAAAGCTAAGATTCTCACTATATACATGCTTGTCATGAAAGACCAGTATTCCCAGAAACAACCACAGATGACCAAAAGAAAAGTTTTTCCGTGACTTTCAAATATGTGGTTAAAATGTGTCACCTTATGTTGATAAGAAATATAAAGTCACAAAATGATGTAATTTTTACTTAAATTTTCAAAGAGCAAAGTATTTCATTTTCTAGCATGTTGGATAGCTACTTTGCTTTAGCCTTCTTGGAAAGCAATTTATAAACATACAACATATGTAAAAATGAGCATGCCTGTAGGAACAGCAATTACATTTGTAGACATTCACCTGGCAGAGATTCCCACACAGTCATGCACAAGTGGATGCATGAAGACCTTCACTACAAGGTTAAGTGTGCTAATAAAGAACTAGATGAAGTATTTGACCTAAGGTTAATTATATGTTAATAGTATAATATTACCCATTCATTAAAGATGATGAAACAAGTCTATTGCTTCAGAATTAGATTGGTCTCTCTATAGATACTTACTGAGGAAAAAAAACCCTACAAGATAGTATGGCTAAATATAGGTACACAAACAAATATACTTATGCACATCTACAGAAATGATCCACACATGGATATGCAATATCTTGAGGAGAGAAAACAAAGAGACAATTGAGGGGTTTTAGGAGGACTTGTGTAAACCATAAACATGCTTATTCAGTGTTTTTTTCTTGTCTTATACTTTTGAAGATGGTTAATATTTATAAATACAAAGAGCAAAACAGTAACACACTGGTATCCTTCATAAGCAGTTTCCAGAGGATCCTATTTAGAGTGTGATTACAACTATAAATATATGTTTAAAGTCAGAAATAGTGGGGGGTGGGGTCAGAAGGGAAAAACAGAGAGAAAATGAGGGAGCGACACTGTTCAAAAAGAAATTTACTCAATACCTGACTTATGTAACTGTAAGCCCTCTGTACATCCCCTTTGCAATAAAAATTTTAAAAAGTAAAATCAGAAATAAATCAACATCATACCTTAATCAAATTTTCCTTCCTGTACCAGTTTATTTTTAAACTCAATGGTTTTAGATGCAAATTTATTTTTATAAGTAAGGTATGCATCTGAAGTCAAATGTGCTATACTTATCTTTTAAAATGTGCATTTATTATGGTAAATAATGCTGCAATAAACATAGTTGTGCTGGTAGCTTAAGTATGGTCTTGTTTGTGACTGGGTAAATGCCTAAAAGTGGGATTGCTGGTTATACGGGAGCTCTATGTGGAGTCTTTTGAGGAACCTTCATACTACTTTGCAAAGTGATTGAACAAGTTTACACTCCCACCAACAATGCAGTAAGGTTCCCTTCTGTCCATATCCCCTCCAGCATCTGTTGTACCAACCCAGATGCCCCTCAGTACATGAATGGCTCAAGAAAATGTGGTATATATACACAATGAAATTCTATGCCTCCATCAGAAAGAATGGCATTGCCCCATTTGTTAGGAAATGGACAGACTTGCAAAAAATGATATTAAGTGAACTAAGCCAGGCCCAAAGAAATATAGGTCCCATAGTTTCCCTTATATGCAATAACTAGTATATGTCTGAGACAAGCAGAAAAGGTCAGATAAGGTGATGTTAGAGAAATGAACCCTAAGATATGTAATCAGATTTTTTTCTTTCATGCCATTGTTTCTAACACATTTATAAGATTATTTCTTTGTTGCTATGTATGACCCTCCCTCATGATATAACCCGTTTTCACTGTATTTGATGTTGGTATAATTTGTGGAGGAGAAGGGAAAAAACAAATCGTTTAAATAGGGATACAGGTGGACCCATTGCAACAATGAGATGCACAAGTCATTATGTCAAAAAACGAACTTTACAACTTTGGCCGCGGGTGGGGCGATGGGGGGAGCGAAGGCAGGGGGAAGGGAGGATGAGAAGGGGAAACAAAGGAGGAGGCAACAATGCTTGATAAGAAATGTATTCAATACCTTGCCCATGTAATTGTAACCCCTCTGTATAATATTTTCACAATTTAAAAAAATTTAAAAAAAGAATCTAAAAGAAATGTGTATTTACTATTCCTCTATATCTGTCTATATACTGTCTATATCCTCTATATACTGTCATAATAACAATGAAAGGCAGAGATATACAGGGATAGTTAAAATAACAATAACAAAGGGATATAACACTATGTTAGAAAATAATCAGAGCAATGGATAAAATATCTATTTCTTCAATAGATTAAAAATTACCTTGCACATATTGTGAATATTTTTCATCATTTATAATATCCAAGTTCTGGAACTAGCCTAGGTACCCATAAACAGATCAACAGATATTTTATTGTGATATATAAACACATTGGAGTTTATTCAGACATAAAGAAGAATATACTCAATGTTTTAGTAGGCAAATGGATTGCTTAAGGAACATTCAGCTTGTAAGCTGTATAAGGCCTGCAAAATGATTTGGTGCATCACAGGACAGATGTGTATATTTCTTCTTGGTGTCTTCAGCTGAATTAATCACCCTTTCTGAAAACAAGTATCATATGTTTTCTCTCATGTATGAAGTCTGAGAGGAAATACCATACATAGAAGAAAAAGGAGATGATTAGGAATGAGGAAAGGGGAAATGTGGAGAGAGAGAGAGACATAAAGGTAAAGAGAGGTTAATATGATCACAATACATGTATGCATAGTATGGAAATGTCACAAAGAAGCCTGTTACTCTATCCAATTAATATACACTAAAATAATGCATTATGTAACAAAAACATTCAGAGCATAATGGAATGATGGAATACAAATGTAGAATTTATTATTATTTATTAACAAGTAGCAATATTTGAATCAACAATGAAAAGTCTCCCATTAATGAAAATCCCAGGATCATGAAGTTTTCTATTTATGTTGTTGTAGTTGATCTTCTTTTCCTTTTAAAAAAGATTAGCATTTAGTTGTATAAGGAGTTTTAATTTTGACATGTCCATATATGTATTCAGTGTACCTTGATCAGATTAATATTGATGTCTGTGTTAGTTGCTTTGTTCAGAAATATGGAGAGCAAACAGCCTTGGTCTAAGCTTGCTGCTGAATGGGATTTTATGCCATGCTAATGAAGACACTTCATGGCATAACACAAATGTCAGCACTCCTTGAGTCTTTTTATAGAGATTTTTAAAGGTTCTCCATCAGTATTAAATGGTTTCATATACACAATGGAATTCTCTGCCTCCATCAAAAAGAATGACATTACCCCATTTGTTAGGAAATGGAAAGACTTGGAAAAAATTATATTAAGTGAAGTAAGCCAGGCGCAAAGAAACATAGCTCCCATGGTTTCCCTTATTTGCAATAACTAGTATATATCTGAGTCAAGCAGAAAAGGTCAGATAAGTTGATGTTAGGCGAAATGAATCTCAAGATAAGGATTCAAATGTTTTTTCTTTCTTGTGATTGTTTCTAACATATTTATAAGATGGTTTCTTTGTTGCTTTGTATGTCCCTCCCCCACGGTATAACCAACAAGGGTTATACCGTGAAAACAGGTTCATTGTATTTGATGTTGGTATAATTTGTGGAAGGGAAGGGAAAAAAAACCAAATCATTTAAATAGGGATACAGGTGGACCCATTGCAACAATGAGATGTACAAGACATGTCGAAAAATGAACTTTACAACTTTGGTCAGGGTGGGGGGTTGGGGGAGAGATGGGAAGGGATGGGAAGGGAAACAAAATAGGAGGCAACAATGCTTGATAAGAAATGTACTCATTACCTTGTCCATGTAATTGTAACCCCTCTGTACGGTATTTTCACAATTAAAAAAAAATGGCCTCGAGAGTGATAAAGTTGCTTGCCTGGGTTCTGAGAGTAGAATGAGGAAACTATTAAGGAAAGGATGCCAAATTCAGCAGCTACCATGATTTCTACTTTTGGCATAAGGCAGTCAAATCTCAGCAGTGGTGGTAAAGTCTAGAGGCTTTTTGATTTTAGCTTTTATTTTTTTTTTATGATGACTAGTGCTTTACTCTGCTTTGATAACAGATCTCAGAAGAAGTCTTAACTGGCTATATGAGCTATGCAGATGTCCATGTTTTAGGCAAATACTTGGATTGTTTTGATTTTAGCCTCTCTCTATGATGTCAGGCAGAGTATTTATCTTTTGTAAGCCTCCACCGCTATTCTGAGGTTCTGCACTACAAATTTTCTTTGCTGTTACTAGCTTCCCCTTCCCTTCCTCAGTCCTGAGCCAGATATTCCCCCTAAAGGTAGAGGACAGTTTTTTGTTGTGAAAAATGAGAGCAGTCTATTTGGAGACAGTTGTTGTCAGCAATTGTTAGAATATTGTAGGGAAGAGATAAAAATGTAGAACCATCATGGAAATGGTTGTAAAAGGCAGGATCAAAATTGGAAGAAAAGGTGAAATAAAAGGTAGAAGATGAAAAGGAGGAAGGGAAACTAAAATGAAATGAAAGTAGAGGAAGTGAGAAATGAGTGAGAGGCATCAAAGACTTTGGAGGAAAATTGCCTTTCACAGGATCCAAAAGAAACCTGGGAAACGACTGGAGAAGACAGTTTTGAAAACAAGCGAAACCCACTATTGTAGATGGCGAAGACTACAATGTGCCTGTTAGGTGAATTGACCAGTGTTAAACTCGGCTTCATTTTCATGCACCTAGATCTCTATGAAATAGTTTTCCCAGAGCTCCTTTCACCTCCTTGTTCCTCAGTGTGTAAATGAGGGGGTTGAGGGTGGGGGTCATAACTGTATAGAAGAGAGAAATGAATTTCCCATGAGTGCGAGCGTAAGAACTGTTGGGTTGGATGTAGACGGCAGTGATGCTTCCGTAGAAAAGGGTCACAACCATCAAATGGGATCCACAGGTCCCCAGCGCTCTTTGCCAGGCCTGGAGTGACTTGATCTTTATAACTGCCTTGGCTATGTATCCATACGATGTCAGTATCAGTGCTAAGGGCAAGAGGAGCAAGACTAATGAAGCCATGAAGAGCTGGATCTCATTGGCATGGATGTCCACACATGCGAGCTTGATCATGGAAGGTACCTCACAGAAGAAATGATGGAGCCAGCGGTGTCCACAGCGAGGTAGTCGGAGTGTGATTGTACCCTGGATAAGAGCATTTCCTACACCACTCAGCCAGGCAACCCCTGCCAGGGCCTGGCACAGCTGTGGGTTCATCACCGTTGCATAGTGGAGAGGTTTGCATACTGCAGCATAGCGATCAAAAGCCATGACAGCCAGGAGAACACATTCACTGGAGCCCAGTGCTAGGGAGACATACAGCTGGATGGCACATCCCAGGCTAGTGATGGTCTTGGCTGGTCCTTTTAGGTTCCACAGCAGCTGAGGAACAATACTGGTGGTAAAACAAATGTCAACTAGTGAGAGGTGAGTAAGGAAAAAGTACATGGGTGTTTTGAGCTTTGGCTCTATGGAGGAGATGAGAATAATTACTGTATTTCCCACCAAGGTAAGCAGATAGGACATCAAAACTATTGCAAAGAGTATCTTTTCCAGCCTTGGTTGCTCGGAGAAGCCCACCAAAATGAAGCCTTCTTTTGTACTGTTATTGGTCATGCTCCTTTCCTTATGCAAGTAAGAAAGAAGATATTACAAGAGTTAAGAGGTAGCTGAATATCAACCATCATGGAATATTGCTTTGAAACATTGACTATGGTGGACCTAATTATAGTGTCTTAAGGAGTAAATTTTGGCACAGTGTCTTTCAGAGTCTGCAGAAAAGCACAGAAGGCTGTTTTAGAAACGAAGGCTTTTCCTCACTGATGGATATCAGAATCTGAGGGAAAACTTGCCTTAGAAGAAAATTAAGAAAAGGAATGTTAAATGAATAAAAAAGTCCTACATGCTGATGACGATTATTTAAATTTTTAAATGTAAGCTTCAGTGTCTTTGATATAAGCAAATTATATATACCTAACATCTCCATTCTTCATTCATAAACATTGAACTGAAATATTTTTGAAGATTTGTTTATTCGAATCACATTTTCTAGAGCTGATTTGTTACTGTAAAAAGTCAAACTATTATCAAAATCAAACTATTGCACTTATATCTAAATGTTTATCTATATGGGTACTTAATTTCAGAAGCATTTTTCACTTAGGGATGAATTACTCACTGTTAGTCTGCCATCATAGTAAGTATGTGAATTTATGCACTGTGTTCAGAACAAACCATTCTCCTCCTTTGGTTTGTGGTGTTGGGGAAGGAAGTCAGTTTTCCAATCTTGTATGGTGGAAAGGTGGCTGAATCTGAATAGGCTTCAACAGAAGGAGAGTTCTTCAAGAGATGAAAGAGGTTGTCCCAATGTGCAGCAAGCCCTCAGACATTTCAAGAAGACTAAAAGGGTACCTTCTTAAAACTCCAAATAGCTATACATGCAATAGTTAAAAATATATTCACCAGTTCAGTGCATATGCATAAAGACCAAACTATATCTCATGTTTAAGACAAGAGACACTTCCTACAGGGTATAAGTAAAAATTACTCCAGGCTTAAAGGATAACAATATCCTTAATAATAATTTCAATCACATGATTATTTTATTATATGCAAAAATTGGATAATATATGAAAGCATTCTCTTATGCTGATACCTTACATAAATTTCATTTATCACAAAAAACTATTACTGAACTAAGTCAAGGACAGGGCCGGGTGAAAAGCTGGATACCAATAACCAATAATTTCATGAAATCCCTGAGTGATCAGCAAAGGGGAAAAGCACAGTATTAAGAAGAAAATGTGAAGGATCAAATATATGTAGATATAATAGCAATGGTAATTGTATTAATATGTTTATGTATATAGGATATAATTGTATTTAAACAATAGCATAAATATACAATATAATATGCTATTATATAATTAGTAAGTAATAAATACATTATATAACACATACTAAGTATACAGTTCTAAGTCTCATAAATGTTCTCACAGTTGGAAATATACATAAACACAAACACCTAAATTACATGCATAACTTTCCATTTTGTCATTTTGTTCCTATCAAATGAATGAAATAATGTCAGACATACCATACTTGCTCTAATCCTGCTTATCTCCGTCAAATGAGACTTCCTACATTCACTTGAATACACAATCACACATGTAAACCTCCAAAGAATGCAATGAGAGACCAGTCATGGACCAGTTTCTTATTCACCATAATATGTTTACTTTAGAAGAATTATATTTCACTTGGGTGAAAAAATGTAACATCAGCTTTTTATCCATATTAGCTTCCTTTACTCAGATGAGATTCTAAAAGTAGAATCTCAACTTGCTGTTAAATTTAAGAATCATACCTATGATGTAGCCATAAAATGCACGAATAGTGATGAATTGGTTATAATGTAATTTTTTCATACTGATAATCACATGTTGAAGCAAAAAGGAAATTTAAACCTTGGAGCGCAAACTGTTATTACTTTAAGCTCACAAACCAGTGGCTGAGTTCCATGTGTGTGCTGTCAGAGCTGTTATCTGAGACCGCAGATCCCTAAAGACCAGCAAATCAGAAGAGACTGTCAGAGGACACAGTCCAGTGAATTCAAGAATGTCCCAGGGACACAGATCTCCCAATTAACCTCAGGCTTTGTAGTATCCAAACTGTCTGAGGAAGTTATTTTGCAAGATATTCATCTTTTTACTTCTCTGATTCTCTAATATTTTTAAAATGTTGGCCAAACAAGATAAAGATGCCTAACTTCTGCTGTTAGATTGTGATTTTTAATTTTAGTTGTTTCCATGTTAAATTTCCATCATATATTGCATTATTTCTGTCTTTTTATTCAGTATTTTGTGTTTTGTTGTATGAATGCTATAAATTTTTCCCACTGTAGGTTTCACAGGTACTTAAGTATTTCTGAGTTTTATATTTTATGAATAAAGCTGTTATAGATATTTTCATGTTTATGTTTGGGTGAATGAAAGTGTAAATATTTTTTGCTACTGCCTTTTGGGATAGAATTACCTAGTCATAAATTACTCATTCCTTCAGTTTTAGCAGACTCCACCAACTTTGGAAACTAGTGTGTATATTAGATATATTTCATATTTACACCAGTACATACTCCATATCTATGCACACACTCAATATTTTCTGTTATTTTCATTTTACTATCTCATTGTTATTTTAATTGGCACTCCCTAATGGCTAGTAAGGCTGACCAGTTTATTTCATTACAGTTTGAATGGTAGGTATTAAGCGATTTTTTTCTTTTTTTTCTTTTTTTTGGGTCCGGTCGTGGGGCCTGAACTCTGGGCCGGGGTGCTGTCCTTCAGCTCTTCAGCTCAAGGCTAGTGCTCTACCACTTGAGTCATAGCGCCACTTCCGGCTTTTTTCTTTTTGCTTATGTGGTGCTGAGGAATCGAACCCAGGGCCTTGAGCATGCAAGGCAAGCGCTCTACCACTGAGCCACCTTCCCAGCCCCGCGATTTTTTTCTTGTGTGTGTTGTACCTGCTCAAGTTTCTAGTCTTTTCCCAAGTAAACTTTATGGAAATTAAAAAAAAAAAAGTTTGTGTTTCTTTTTTTTTTGTCCCCAACTACCCCTCCACCACCACCCAGGTTATAAAGTTTGTTTTCAACATAGTCTTGTACATCTCATTGTTACAATGGGTCAACCTGTATCCCTATTTAAGCATTTTTCTTTTTCCCTTCCTCTCCCCAAATTAGAAAAATGTATATACAAGATGCAGGGCACCGGAATCAAATACAGTGAAAACAGGGGTTATACCATGGGGGAAGAACATACCAAAGAAACAAAATAAATCATATAGTACATTATAAATATGTTAAAAACAATAGCAAGCAAGAAAAAAAATTTGTGTCCCTATCTTGGGGTTCATTTCCCTTAACATCATCTTATACAGTCATATGTACATAGCTTTTGACCTTTTCTGCTTGTCCTAAACTTATACTAGTTATTGCAAATAAGGGAAACCATTGGATCTATGTTTCTTTGGGCCTCGCTTACTTCACTTAACAAATTTTTTCCAAGTCTTTCCATTTCCTAACAAATGGGGTGGTGTCATTCTTTCTGATGGAGACATAGAATTCCTATATCTATCTATCTGTCTATCTGATAGATAGACAGATAGATAGATAGACAGATAAATAGATAGATAGATATAGATAGATAGATATAGATAGATAGATATAGATAGATATAGATAGATATAGATATAGATATCTCACATTTTCTTGATCCATTCATCGACTGAGGGGCATCTGGGTTAGTTCTGTATCTTAGCTATGGTAAATAATGCTGTGATAAACAGATAAACATAGTTGTGCTGGTAGCTTTAGTATGATCTAAGTGGTTGAACAAGTTTACATTCCCACCAACAATGCAATAGGGTTCCCTTCTGGCCACATCCCCTCCAGCATCTGTTGTTATTAGATTTCTTGATTATAGCCATCCTAACTGGGGTGAGGTGGAATCTCAATGTTGTTTTGATTTGCATTTCTTTTATGGCTAGAGAAGTTGAGCATTTCTTCATGTGTCTATTGGCCATTCTTATTTCCTCTTCAATGAAGTTTCTCTTTAAGTCTTTAGCCCACTTATTTATCAGGTAGTTGTTTCTTTGAGGAATTCTTGTTGGGGGATTTAATTTGTTGAGTTCCAAGTGTATTTTAGATATGAGATGCTGGTCTGTTGTATGGCTAGTGAGGATCTTCTCCCAATCCGTGGGCTTTCTATTGATCTTGCTAGCTATGTACTTTGCCATGTAGGAGCTCTGCAGTTTCATGCAATCCTATTTGTCCAACCTTTCTTTGATTTGTTGTGTTGCTGGGTGTCTATTAAGAAAATTTCAGCTTGTGCCAAGAAGACCTAGGGTTTTTCCTATTCCATCCTGTAATGTTTTCAGGGTGTCTGCTTTGACTTAGAGGTCTTTGATCCATTTGGTGTTGATTCTGGTGCAGGGTGATATATAAGGATCTAGTTTTAATTTTCTACAGGTGTTTAACCAGTTTTGCCAGCACCATTTACTGAAGAGGCTGTCTTTCTTCCATTTTGTTTTTTTAGCTCCTTTATCAAAGATTAGATGGCTATAGGTCTGTGGGTTCATTTCTGGGTCTTCAGTTCTATTCCATTGGTCCTCAGGTCTATTCTTGTGCCAGTCCCAAGCTGTTTTGATTCCTAGGCTTTGTAGTAGAGTTTGAAATTTGGTGTTGATATTCCTCCAGCACTGTTCTTTCTGCTAAGGTTCATTTCTGCTATTCAGGATCTTTTATTGTTCCATCTGAATTATTGGGTTGCATCTTCTATTTCATTGAAGGATGAGGTTGGAATATTGATAGGTATTGCATTGAATTTGTAGATAGCCTTTGGAAGAATTGCCATTTTCATGATGTTGATCCTCCCAATCCAGGAGCAGAGAAGGTTTTTCCAATGCCTAAGTTCTGCTTTAATTTCCTTTTTCAGGTTTTTAAAGTTTCCATCATAGAGATCCTTCACTTCTTTAGTTCACTCCTAGGTATTTTATTTTTTTTGTGGGCCTATTACAAAAGAAATTGCTTTCCTGATTTTAACCGCACTCTTCTCATTGTT